TGGTTTGTAGGCTGGCAAATTGCCCAGTCCTCTTCAGTTTCACTCTTTAGTGTTTTCAGGTTTTCATTATGGAGACCTTTCACCTCATAGGGGAGGTTTATGCCTAGGTAGTTTATGTTTTTGAAGCCATTGTGAATGAGAATTTTATTAAAATTATTTGCTTAGCAAGTTTGTTTCTGGAAGTAGTAAAGCTACTTTTTCTTTTTATATTGTATTGCTGACAGTGTTTATCAGGTCTAAGAACTTTTCTGTGCAGCCCCAAGGCTCTTTTAGGTAAAGAATGGTGTCATCTACAGATAGGGATTCTTTGAGTTCTTCTATTTATTTTGCCTTGTTCTTCTAACTAAGACTATGATAATTGAATCTTGTTTTATAAATTTTATTTATTATTTGTGTGTGTGTGCATAGGCCATGGTGTGCATGTGGAGGTCAAAGGATAACTTTGTGTGACATTCGTCCTCTCCTCCTCCCTCTGTGATTTCCAGGGATCGATCAAACACAGACTGCAGGCTGCCTTTATCCACTGAGCCATCTCACCAGCCTCCATCTGATTTAACCAAGTCAGGCCTCCTCTGCATAAATTAAGGTTTCCATTTGAGGTTATCATCGAGAGGGATTTGCTGCTTTTTATGGTTTTGTTGATAGTTTCTAGATCTCTGTTCCACCTTGTTAGTCAGTCCTAGGGGCTTGCTGGTTTCCTTGTTGACCATGACTGACTCATTCCTATGTCCCTTTGTTCATCTGTTGCTCGCATGAGTAAACAAAGCTGGCTAGAAATAAGCCTAGCTAAGGCCCGGCATTCATAAGTAATAATAAGTCTCCATGTCTATTTATATGGGAGCTGGGTGGCAAACTCCCCAAAGAGTAAAGAGTGAAAACACAGCCAATAGCACATAGAGATCTGCCTGCCTTTGGCTTCTCAGGTTGGGATCAAAGGCGGGTCCACCAGGCCTGTCAAAACTCAGTTCTTAATTAACATAGGCCATCATCGTACTTGGGGAAAAGACCTGCATGAAAACCATCACTGGTCAGTAGACTCGATGCTAATAATGGTAGATAGCAGGGGCTGTGGGAGCGCTAGGCTTGGGATGAAGTGCCTGATAGAAGGAAGGTGGTTAGGTGAGGCCATACTTGGACTGCTCTCAAAGAAGAGGACAGTTAGACTGACCCTTGGGGGAAGAGGATGGGCTAGAGGAGTACTGTGGAAGGACCCGGAGGGTGCTGGCTTTGTGGGTGGTGGTATGGGTGGGTATGGAGATGGTAAGCTGGAATCTCTGAGTTTTAGGTTTCAGTTCAGCAAGGCAAGTTGAAAGTTTTGATTGAGATGCATGTGCTCTCATTTTCTTACTTTTTTCCTGGGGCATCCCTCTCTCATGCCTTCCTCTCACACTTGTAGGTAAACTTGGCAGGGCAGGAAACCCCTCCCCAGGCTGTTGAGCAGCTTCAAGGCTAACACTGGCTTTCCTTTGTCCTTGCTGCTTGCTTGCCTTTGTTTCTAAATAGTGCTTAGGGGATGAGCAAGAGTCAGGTCCAGTCTCTGCAGGTCCTTGGTAAGCCTTCCAGTCAGCTGTACAGGTTCTCTCTAAGGGAGAGCACATGCCCGGGTGACTGAGAGTTGGCAGGGGCCACCGTGGTCAGAAGCCTTATATATTTTATCTGAGGAATTAGAATCTAGTCTTAAAATTGCGAGGAAGCTTTTAAAAATCTGAAATGGGTAGGGGTGGGGGAAGGAAACCACAAAATCAACTTTACATTTTCCAAAGCTGACTCTGTGTTGAAGGAAAATGGGCTGGAGTTGTACTTGAAGAAGCAGAAGCTGTATTAATAAGACCATGACAGAATCACAGGTTTCCCTTTTCTTTTCTCTTTTTTAAAAAAATTATTTTTATTTTATATGCGCTGGTGTTTTGCCTGTGTATGTCTGTGTGATGGTGCTGGAATCCCTAGAACTGGTTACAGATAGTTGTGTGTAAGCATGGGTGAGTCCACGAGAGCCCGAAATAAGGGATATCAATTATTTATTGGGGAATACTCATGAATAACAATCAGGTAGAGAGGCACCATGGTCCTCTGTCCTGGGGGTGCTGAAGCAACGGCCTCTGACTACCATATAAGAGAGAGCAAGAGAGACCTTTCTTCTCCCTTATAAGACCACATCTGCACACAGAGGTCACACCACATTGGCGGAAAGGAATTTCTGCACCATTTCCCCCTTTGTCTAAATAAGAAGGTTTTAAACCCAATACAAAACTATAAATAATAAGAATATCAAGTATTGTCCACAAGAAAGAAAGGGTAATAACGTACACCAGACTAGAACTGCAACCAATAAGAGTAACATCAAGCAAGAAACACAAACACATACTAAATGCCCAGTCTATGGGTAATAGGCAACTAAGAGAGATTATTCCAATAGTTGTCTTATCCTGAGGAGTCTAAGTCTTGTACTAAAATGTCTTAGTTAAGATATGAGAAGATAGTAGCTGTGACTGTCTAGTTTTCAACCCCATCAAAGATCTGAGAAGGTAATTAAGCAGGAAGTGCAAGCAAGCAACTTCCAAAAGGTGCAAGTAGTGACAGAAACAGCCGACTACCTGGACAGTCACCCAAAATCTCACAGTAACATTGGGGCAACCAACTTTGACTCAGGCTTAGAATATCTGACAGACCATATTCAGAAGCAGGAAGATTCAAAAGACTGACTTGCCCTGTCTTGGCAAGGTATCCTGCTTGTTCAGTTTGGACAGCATGCATACTGTCAGCAGTTGAGGCAAGGACAGTTCTTTGCCCAGAGACCAGTTTTGCCAAGAAGAAAACAAGCTCTTAAGTGGAGTGACTTCAGTCCCTAACATTCTCTTGGGAATAGATCTGTGCTGCCAGGAGCAATCAGGTCTCACATCAACAGAATCCTGGATTATTAAAACATTTAAATGTTTTTCTTCTCTCTTATAAGGCATCCCATCCATACCCTGAGGCTGATACCCAAAAAACTATTGGCAGAAAGAAATTTCCACAACAGTTGTGAGCTGCCTTTGGGTGCTGGGAACAGAGTCAAGGTCCTCTAGAAGAGCATTTTATGCTCTTAACTGCTGAGCACACACATGTATTCCCAGGACTCAGGAGGCAGAGGCAGGTAGATCTCTGAGTTCAAGACCAGCCTGATCTGTAAATTCCAGGATAGCCAGGATTATACAGAGAAATCCTGTCTTGAAACAAAACAAACAAACAAAGCACAGATTTTTCAGGCCCCACCCCACTGCTGAATTAGTCTGGGTTTGGGGTGTAGTGCGTTTCACTTGATTGTTACATACTCTGTCAGGTGAAAGTGGAAACAGTTTTCAGTTTGTGAACTATATTTTTCATGAAATATGTAGTTGATTTTATTTGGCATGTTCATTAAATTTGTGTTTGGCATTCATAATTGAAGGAAGTAAAATAGAATTTTGTGATTTAGTAATTGTAATAGGAAAGCCTAATATTCAGATATTTGAAAAGCTAGGATAGTATGCTAGTATATTTGGAAAGGGGGACAAGGTCTAGGACCATGTAGAAAAATAAACTACTCGCAAGTAATAGCAGTACTGGTGTAGAGTAAAGTGATGTAGGATTCCCTTCTGGATGCTGTGAATACCATTTAATAAAGAAGCTGCTTTGGGTCCATTGCAGCTCAGAATAGGGCAAGGTGGGAATTCCAGGCAGATAGAGGAGGAGAGAGTAGGTGGAGTAGCCGTCAGAGAAGGACATCCGCATGCTAGTAATGGTAAACCATGAGCCTCATGGTAAAATATAAAATAATAGAAATGGGTTAATTTAAGATATAAGAGCTAAGCCGGGCGGTGGTGGCGCACGCCTTTAATCCCAGCACTCGGGAGGCAGAGGCAGGCGGATCTCTGTGAGTTCGAGACCAGCCTGGTCTACAAGAGCTAGTTCCAGGAGAGGCTCCAAAACCACAGAGAAACCCTGTCTCGAAAAACCAAAAAAAAAAAAAAAGATATAAGAGCTAGCTAACAATACACCTAAGTGATTGGCCAAGTGATGTTTTAATTAATACAGTTTCTATATGATTATTTCAGGTCTGGGTGGCTGGGAATGAACGAGCAGTCTCCGCCAACAGTAAAATAAGAGGACACACTCTCCAGTGCCCTAGATAATTTATAATGTATTCAGATCTGAAATTGGGAAAGCTTTTGAAGGTGCTATTTTAAAATCCCACTCCTAGAAAAAAAAGCTATAGGTAGGCAGTGACTGCTGAGAGGGAGAATTGGTTTCCTTCAGGGCTGAGTTCCCACACAACTCGTCTGATCTCAGGGCCAGCCTTGGCTACACATCCACATGAGCACATGGACTCAGTATGTATAACCTGTATACACCTACATACTTCTGTGTGTGTGTATACACACAAGCATATAGATGTACACATACATGTATGGCAACAGTAAAGAAGTGACCATGTATTTGGGAAAATTTGGATGAAGGGTGTGGAAGTGATAAATACTCATATATGAAATTATATATAATAAAATAATAACACATTACAGAAATAAAAAGGAGATCATGAAGCCAGGTACAGTAGCTTATGGAATGTAATGGCTAGCACTCAGGAGACTGAGTCAGTAGGACTACCAAGAGTTCAAAGCCAGCCTAGACTGTAGAGTGAGACCCTGTGTCATAAAGGGGTAAGAGGTGTGCACTTTGTGAGTCTTAAAGACAGTGGGTTTAATCTGAGCGAGTTAGGCAGTCAGGGCCACACAGCAGTAGGAGGGACAGACTGGCAGCTGTCTTGCATCTAACCCAAGTTTTATTTTTCTTTGAGGGTATGAAGGCTGTGGGTTTAAATATTTATTACCTTTGTTGAAATGTTGAATATATTTGACAGTACTTTGTTTGCTCTATTTTGCTGGGTGATCAAAGGTTCAGATAAAGCAAATTGTATTTAAATATCAAAATTGTGTCTTAATAGATAACTTAAATTTACTTTTCTCCTTCAAATTTTCTTCTAGGACCCATCCGTTACACAGGTGACAAGAAATGTGCCCCCAGGACTTGATGAATACAATCCCTTCTCAGACTCTAGAACGGTAAGATTGCTTTACCTCGCACTTCTTTTAGATGTTTAAGTGGAAATTAAATAGGGGATTATATTTTAATTATGTTTCTTTCCAGCTCACGGGGTGTCAAACAAGCTGTGTGAATGCATGTGTTCTTTAGAATTCAACAAGTTAGGACTATTTTTCTTTTATGAGAAAGGCTTTGTTGGTAACCAAAAATTACCATGATGATTCTAGATAAATTCCACAGGTTTCCTCTTCCATTCAGTAAAGTGCTAACCTGTGTTGTATGAGCTTCTGTACAGTGCTTGGAACACTGGGAAGTAGGAATGTGCCCAGTGATGCTGTGTTGTCTGTGTACTAATGTGGGGAGATGTGTTCTTTCTTACTTTTTAAAAATTTATATATTTTTATATATAAATTATATATGTATATAGTGTTTTGCCATGGGAAGTTTTGGGCCCCCTGAAACTGGAGTTACGGACAGTTGTGAGCTGCCATGTGGGTGCTGGGGGTTGAACCCAGGACCTCTGGAAAAGCAGTCAGTGCTCTTAACCATTGAGCCATCTCCAGCCCTTGGGGAGACTTTCTCGTGATGGGGTTGTGTCTGGAACTTAATTGTGTGCTTGTCGTTTGAATCGCAGTGTTTGAGCAGGACTCGACTTGTGCTGTAGTGATTTCCTTCTGGAAATCTGCTTGCGCTCAAAATTTTGTGTGACTTAGGGGTACGAGAAGAACTCCCCGACGGTGTTTTCGCTGCTCTGCATGCACGTTTAGAGGGTAGAAAGGACTACGTTGTGCCGTCTGTTAAGGTCGTAACCAATTGCATGTAGGGCTTTTTACTAAAGTCTTTTTGATAATTATATTTGACCCAGATTTTAAAACTATTGAAGTAGCTCTCTTCAGCAAATAATGCTATCTTCTGAATTTGTGTTAGTATCGTGCACACTTTACTCAGCAGGTTCCTTGTAGACAGATGTGACTCTGAAAGTGTTAGTCATCCACGAATACCTGAGTGTGCATGTGATTTTCACCAGCCCATAATGATTCTTACCTGGTGACCACTTCTTCCTGGTGGATACTTCTCATAGTGTAGAGAATTATTCTGAAAGATGATGTAGGTTTTGCTCAGGAGTTTCTTCAGAGTCTATTTTGTTGACTTGTGATGAAAAAGAAAAATGTATTTGGTCCTTGTTGCCAGATCCTAAAAAATGAGTGGAATTTCTAGACAAATGAGAGTCTGATATTTTATGCAATCTATTTTATCTTAACAAACTCTCACAGTGACATTCCAAATCGGTATTTTAAGTTTCTTCTTTTTTTTAGGAAATCTTTTTTTTAGGAAATCTGAGACACAAGACTTCTGATTTGGAAATAGCAGTAACTCATCTGCTTTTTTGTTGTTGTTTGTTTGTTTTGTGTTTTTTTTTTTTTTTTTTTTTTTTTTTTTTTTGTAAAGCTTTGCCTTTTACCCTGGCTTAGTCAGGGCTACTGTTGCTGTGATGAAACACTATGACCAAAAAGCAAGTTGAGAGGAAAGGTTTTATTTGCCTTACAGGTCCATATTGTATTCCATCATTGAGGGAAGTCAGGACAGGAACTCAAACAGGGCAGGAACCTGGAGGCAGGAGCTGATGCAGAGGCCACAGAGAGGAGCTGCTTACAGGCTTGCTTCCCCATGGCTTCCTCAGCCTGCTTTCTTATAGAATTCAGGACCACCAGCCCAGGGATGGCACCACCCACAATGGCTTGGGCCCTCCCACATGAATCACTAATTAAGAAAGTTTCCTACAGGCTTGTCTGCAGCCTGATCTTGTGAAGGCATTTTCTCAATTAAGGTCCCTTCCTCTCAGATGTCTTTAACTTTTGTCAAGTTGGCATAAAACTACCCAGCGTGTTCTCTTTAGAGACAGATGACTAGGGAGTAGAAGTCCTGGCCTTGGAACATTCGTCACCTAAGTGGGTTTTTTTTTTTTTTAATTCCACATACTTGCAAAGAAGATATATGTAGGACAAATGAAACATAGAATTGTAAATTATGGCCCTAGATATTGACACTTTATAGTCCCAGAAAGGCTATTTAAAAGAGGTGTCTTTAGGGAGGTAGGCTTTAATGAGAATCTGTTTAAAATTTAGCAATTCTGGATTTTCTGAGCAGATGCACTACTTTAGAACCAGGAACAAGGTTGTTATCAAAGAACTTGGTGCAGCTCTGCAGCATTTTCATTTTTGTGTTTTTAGATTTGTTTATGTGTATGGGTGTTTCGCCTGCATGCATGTCTTATACCATATTCATGCAGTGCCAGTGGAGGGCAGAAGTTCAGTGGGCTTCCTTTCTGAGCCTAGGTGAGGGTTGACTGACAGGCACTTGATCTGCTCCAGAGCAGACGCACTGGAAAGTCTTCAGCCAGCGTGGATGACAACTTTCCATAGCCCTCGTCCTCCAGTCTTCCCTAGCCTGTACACCCTGCCATCTCCCCAAGACTCCACTGCCACATGCAATTAGAGCAGAATTGCATACAGGTGACTAGGGGAGTGGCTGGAATATATGGCAGGCCCTGATGACCTCCTCACCTGCTCCGTGAGGGAGTGGCGGCAGCCACAGGATTAGTTGTGATGGACTTTCATAAGCGGGACCGTGGATCCCATGCAGTTAGTGGCAGTGTGGCTGGGAGGGTAGCCCCTACAATAATGTATTTACACAATACACGGCTGTGCACTCATCTTAGGATTGGGGTTCTACCCGACTGCACCCTTAGCTTTAGGGTTGTTCCCCTGTGACTGAATGTCAGTCACTTGTCTTGTTGGTACGGGCCTCTGGGGCCCTCAGAATGTCAGTCCTGCTGTTAGCTTCCCAGGTCTTGTTCACCCATGTCCTCTCATCACATTCTATGTGACAAGGCAGCAGTTAAAAACTGTCTCCCGTTTCTCTCACCATCCCTTCCTATGCTTTTCAGTCTGTTTCAACTCAGTACCCAGAGTGATCTCGTCAGTCTCACTAGCTTTACGTTCTTTAAGGTTTTATTTATCTGTGTGGCATGTGCACACGTGCATGCCTGTGGAGGTCAGGAGAGTGGGTACCAGGTCCCTGGAGCTGCAGTCCCAGCCGTGAGTGCTGGACCTGAACTCACCCTCTGCACCGCATCTCTCCAACCCTATTTCGCCTCTAATGTTTAAAATTTATTTACTTATTTATTCCTCTCTCATATATTATATCCCCACCACAGTGTACCTTCCCTTCTCCCTTCCCAGCCTCTCCCCTATCTTTCTTCTCCCCTAGGTCCACTCCTCCTCTGTTTCCCTTCAGAAAAGGGCATGCCTCCCAGGTATACCAACCAAACATGGCATATCAAGTTGCAGTAAGAATGAGCACACCCCTTCACAATAAGGCTGGACGAGACACTCAGGAGGAAAGGGTTCCCAAAGCAGGTAGCCGAGTCAGAGACAGCCCCTGCTCCCACTGTTAGGAGCCTCACAAGAAGACCAATCCACACAACTGTAACACATGTGCCGAGGGCCTAAGTCAGTTCCATGCAGGCTCCCTGATTGTCGGCCCAATCTCTGGGAGCCCCTGGAGCCCAGGTTGGTTGACCCAGGCTTTCTTGTGATGTTTGTTCTTGACCCCTGTGGCTCCTACAGTTTTTCCTGCCCCTCTTCTACATGATTCCTTGAGTGCCAGCAGATGTTGGCTGTGGGTCTGTGCATCTGCTCCCATGAGCTGCTGGGCATCACAGCAGTGGACTGGCTTGCCTTAGGAATTTACTTCTTGCTGTTCTCTGGCCTACATCTCCCCTTTGCTACCCTAGTTTCCCCGTCTTCTGTAATCACCATTTTGGACTTCTTTTTAGATTTTATATGTAAATGAGATCATGCACTAGTTTTCTTCCTGTGTCTGGTTTATTTCACTTAGCATAATATCCTGTGGACGCATTAATATGACAAATGGCAAAATTACATTGTTTTTGAGAGCCAAATAATTACAGACTGCCATTTCTTTGTCCATCCATGCTGTTGTCAGTAGTGTTATACAGGCCAGGGATGCAGATACTGAGAAATGGTTGTGTTTCCTCCCGGTTTATACTTGAAGAGGGATTGCCGACTCCGTGTGGAGATCTTTCCCCAGAACCCTTGTTGAAGAGTCTGTCTTCTCCCCGCTTTCTCTCAATGGCCTCATCAAAAGGTCAGTGAGATGACTCCACAGGTAGCTTGAGTATGAGCCCAGGCTCCACAGGGCAGAGAGAACTGACCACTGAAAGCTGCCCTTTGATCTCCGTCCTCCTGCCTCTCTCACGTATATAACAGTTGACTATATGTGCTTAGATTGATTTTTGTGCTATCCTCTTTTTCTGGCCTCTCTAAGCCTTTTTCTATGAGAGTCATGCTATTTTGATTACTGTAGCTTTGTAACTTTAACTTCAAGTCAGGAAGTATGATTTTTTTTTTATAATGTATTTGCTGTTGGGGGACTTTATAGTTCTGTGTGTGCATCAGGTTTTTTTCCCCTCTACTCCTGTGAAGAATCTTAATGGAATTTTACAGGGCTTACATTGGGCTATGTACTGCTTTGGGTAAGATGGACACTTTAACAAAATCATTATGAACCATGGGTGTGGGTCCATCTTTTCAATTGTTTTTTTTTCCTTCCATTTTTTTTCCATCAGTGTTTTATAGCTTAGTTTTTTCTCATTATAACAAATACCCATGATTCTTACTGTACACAGAGGTAAGCTTTCTTTTGGCTCATAGTTTGGAGGGCCTAGCTGTCATTGGCTGGCCCTTTTGCTTTAGGCCTATGGCAAGGTGGCATATCATGCTGGGTGGGACAAAACCACTCACCTCACAGCTGGGAGGTGACACAGAGGAAGAGGGTTTGTGTCCCATCATCTCGGTCAAGCACCCCTGTCCTCGACCTGAGTAGTTTCCACAAAGTCATGCCTTCAGTTTTTAAAGTCAGTTTATTCCTAGATATCTTCTTAATGCTGTCACGAATGGAGTCACTCTTGGTTTCTTTTCCAGTCAGGCTAATGAAT